GGGTTGCCTCCATCATCCAGCGCACAGAATCAGGGTCCGGGCACGCGATATGGCGTGGCAGGGGTAGGACCGGGCACACGATCTGGAGTGGCAGGGGTAGGACTGTGATAGCCACCGAAGGAGAGGGATCGACGCGCGGAGTGGTGGTGACAGTCTGATTGGCCGACGGTGTACGACATCAGCCCTTGTGGCCAGTGAATAGCTGCACAGCTGGACGTTCAAGTGGACATGAACGACTCTTCAGTGCCATACTCAAGCACGTGGTCTGGTGGATGGCCGATCGGCCAACAACGGACGGAGGCGATTTACCGACGGTGATCTGTGCGGATTGCCCGAGGGTCTCATACCGGTTGAGGGCTATTTGGGGAGACTGCTCAGTGAGGGGGGCTTCCGCCATCATCCACTGCGCGGAATCACGGTTCGGGTACACGATCTGGCGTGGCAGGGGTAGGACTGCTACAGCCACTAGAGGAGACTGATCGACGCGCGGAGTGGCGGTGACACTCTGAAGAAGACTGACGCAAGACACGTCGCTGACGTTCGGGCAGAGAGGCAATCAGGTTTTACGTTCCTGCGCACCCCCTGGCCCTGTTCTTGTATGCGCATACCCCCTTTCATGTGATAAATGTCCCCCTCCTCGCCCCTGCCCTTCAATCCAGCTCCCCCCCCCCCGCACTCTACATCTAGGAATCGGCAACACTTACGGATTTGCTATGACACCGCTAGATATAGGGAGGGACCGCCGCTCAGCATACACACTAAGCCTCGCCACAAGGAACCCGATCTCGTCCGTCATCCGCAGCAAAATACAAGGATCCGACCACCTCCCTATCACTGCAAGGACCTGACCGCCTCCCGGTCATAAGTGTGGAGGCACTAATCAACGCCTTAACAGGAAAAACAAACACCGTGATGGCGGCAAAAAACAACCTGCCTCATGTGCGCGATGACAAAACAACACAACCACAGCCGTCAGGGGCGAACAAAAAGGCGCCCTCCGAGGATGAACCTGCCCCCTCCTCCAGTTTAGCCAGGCAGACCACAAATGGAGGGTTGCTCCTGGGGCAGGGTCGCACCCTCGTCGCGCCACAAAAAACACTACAAATCAACAACCCGATCCCTGACCATGCTGGCAGAGGGCAATAGGGACAGGCATCCACCACATGGAGGGACAAAGTGGCACCCCCTGTGAAGCAATCTGCAGCTGCCTCTGCCTCCTCCTCCTCGTCGGACGGAGAGGCTAAGCCATCGCCGCAACTGATTACCGCTCTCTCAGCGCCTGGACGATCTGACCCGCACAGATCCTCCGAACTAGCCTCCATGGCTCCGCTCAAGACCTGTCTCTTATACACATCTAGATGTGTATAAGAGACAGCCCCTGTGAAGCAATCTGCAGCTGCCTCTGCCTCCTCCTCCTCGTCGGACGGAGAGGCTAAGCCATCGCCGCAACTGATTACCGCTCTCTCAGCGCCTGGACGATCTGACCCGCACAGATCCTCCGAACTAGCCTCCATGGCTCCGCTCAAGACTCACCTGATACAACAACTTTATGTTGAGCCAGAAAGGAAATACCGAGTGTAAGAAGGTTATATATACCCGCACTCCGTCTTCTCACCCCGCGCCCGGGCTACAAGAGACGCGATCTATACTCAAAAGGCGGTGCAGTACCGCTTTCATCCTGCACAATCGACAATCCCCGTAAACGAGAAAATCAAATGGATTACAGAAAAGCTTGGGATGATAAATGCGGATCAACAACTAGTGAATGAACACTTCCTCGTAGAAGTGGACAGCCCGAACAGTGTAATAATTGTCGCGCTCTACCAGACAGACAAACAACTCCTTCTGCGAAACAATCAGCTGCAGTTTACAGGACGACACGTGCAACTCACTGACTGGTCCCCGGCTGATCCACAATCGGCTGATGAAAAAAGAGAACATCTTATGAAATCGAATTTCTGGGTTGAATTCCGATTTGCACCACTTTGCGTGCGAGGTGCCATTCTGGCTCACTTGGAGGACATCGCCCATGTCAAAGGTTACATCACCGACCTGTCCCAATTTCTAGGGAAGAGAGATGATTCGTTGTTGGTCGCAGTGGATTGGGACCCGCAATATCCCTTCCCACTTAATGAGGACTGAAGGTACTCTCTCGGAGGTTAGGAGTTCTCTGTTCCGGTCAGCCACTCCCAAGATCTATGGTGTTATGCTTGCAAACAACGAGGGCATTTGTGCTCTTACGAATCCTGCCCAAAAAACGGTCGCAAGATGAAGATCAAGGGACTCGTCACCCCTCACTGCAAAAACGAAAAGTGGTGGTATCCGGAGGAGCCGGGGCTCCGGGGCTGGATGTTCAGGGCCTACGCCGACGGCCGCCCTGGGAAATGGATATGGCAGGGGAACGGCCGTCCGTCGGCATTCCCATCAAGAGTTGAACTCATAATTACAGACGATCGCAAGCAAAAAGGTGAACGGGGGTGCTCCCCAGAACCCCCGTAAAATAGACGCAACCGCTCCCGATCTCTGCACCCCCCACAACAGCGCGACAACGGCGGGGGTGACATACAGACACAGGAAAAAGACAGCTATGGAAATAAACAGAAACAGCAGCCTGAGGGTGTCGTCCAAAACTGGCCACTGCCTCCACCAAAGTCGGCTAAGCCAAGCCCCGCTCCCCCCCAGCAGTTGTACGTACCTAAACCAAAAACACAGTCTTCTGCAGGACAGTCGCACGCGGAGAAGATTGAGAAGCCTGTGCTGCAGAACCTACAGGTTGAGCAACAGGTTGTCACCAAACAGCCGCACGTGGAGAAGATTGGTAAGCCTTCGCAGTAGGACACACAAGATGAGCAACAGGCAGTTGCCGAACAGTCTCGCGTGGGGAAGATTGATATGCCTTCGCAGCAGACCACAGAGGCCAAGCAACAGGCTGTTCCTCAACACGGATACGCGGACAAGTCTCATGACCCTTCACAGCAGAATACTTAGGCTAATCAATTGGGTCAGGCTGAGAATACTCTAGGACCAACTGTGAATGCTCTGGCCGCAACTATGAAGGCCAATGTAGATGTTACATACCCAGAGGCAGATCCACACAAAGAGGAAAAGGTACAATTGAGGGCACTGGTAACGACGGGATCCTGGAGACCTCAACCAACAGAAAGGACAACTCTGGCCAAAAAACAACCCAACATAGAGAAAGGAAAAGAGACCCCGCTGCCTCAGCAAAAGGGCCCGACTAGAAATGCCAATGTGCCTCCTGCACCCCACTCAGCAGCGCAGGGTCTGGGAGGCGGGGGACGGGAGGACATTGCCGATGACACAAGCAAGTTTCCGGGCCCGACTGCAGATGCAAATGCGCCTCCTGCACCCCGCTTAGCAGTGCATAGTCTGGAAGGCGGGGGACGTGAGAACATTGCCGATGACATATGCAAGCCCCCTCCCATGAAACATGCTGAGAAACAGACACAGCGGCCTCACTCTGTCCCGCAGGGTGCACGAGACAGTGGACGACAACATATAGTCGATGACACAAGCAAACACCTGCCCCCGAAATGCACTGCCGATCCCGAACAGCAGTCTCGCTCCCCCGCCCCTGCTCCTGGCCCCTTGCCCGCGCGGGACTATGAACCCTCGAAGTCTGGCGGGAAAGGGGCACGGGCCAACACGCAGAAACAAAAAACCCAAGGGAAACAACAACATCGGGGCGGGGGTAGCGACACACACAACAGAGACAACCGGGGGCAGCATCAAAGAAACACCCCGGGCCAGCATGATGCGCAGGGCAGGAAGTTGGGCCTGAATGCCAGCCCTGAGGTGGGAGTGCCCATCCAACGGGAACCCCTCCAACTGAGAGAACCGCAACTCGATGCACTCCCTCAACTGCGGACAGCGGGATGTTACCTGCAAGAGGGGAAAGACAAAGGCACCAGTGTTGTTGTGCACCACACCGACGGACGACTGAAATCTGAATGATCTTAACGGCTCCTGCTGCAGGGAGGCTCCACAGCCACTTACGAAAGCGCAGGGGGTAGGCTGAAACCCGGGGGGAATGTGGCTCAGAGCCAATTCCTTGTTGAGCAAGATCAAAGATGCGGCCTTTTCCCAACATCGGGAATCCCCGAATGCAATGCAAACTGTCTCAGAATCCTGAGACACACTGCAGCTGCATTCTTGTCAGCAACAATTGCCCTCCCTCGACATGTCGTCAACTGGTACTGACCACATGACAACCGTTATATCATAAGTCACGGGGGAAGTTAAGTTCATACCCCCTCAGCAGCCCCAACACTTGGAGTGCGCACGGCTGAGGAAACCCGAGCATAAGGAGGATACTGAAGTTGCCGTGCCAACCACGGTACGGTCAAGAGAATTGGTGCTGCGACCACAGTCACATCAACCAGCCGGTCAGCAACAGCCCCACGCGCCCACTACTGTCCAACAACACAACATAAAAATTTTCCAGAATTAAATAACCATTATAGGGTAAAATTACATTCTAAATTCTAAATTTTCATTCCATCTTAAAAAATGTCATTCCAATTTTAAAATTTTTCGTCTTACTTGAAAACTTTCCTTCCTAGAATGGGGTATCCCTTCTTATTTGAACTGCATGCTAGAGATGGAATGAAAGTAGGATGAGTTCATGAAATATTTTAATTGGACTGTCATTCTAAGTAAGGATTTTCAGTCATAAATAAGTTAATCCAATCTAAATTAAACGATATTTGTTGTAGCAGAATGAAAGTCTAATTAAAACATTTTATTAACTCGTCCAGACTTTCATTCCATCTTAAACAAATAGATGTAGTTGGAAGGGAAAACTCATATTTAGACGAAAACTTATCAAATTAAATTAGAAATTTTAGAATTGGACGAATATTTGAATGATAATTTATAAATATGAAGGATTTTTTTTTTATGGAATATTTTTTCAACTTTCATGTCTCATGGGAATTTTTCTGTTGCAGCACAACGAATCGCAGCTGCAACATCGACATGCACAACCACAAATACAGCAGCAAGTGCAACAGCAAGAGGCGCAACGACACTGCAACGCTGCACAATCGCAAATGCAACTACACGATGCACAACTTCGAACACACCAGCAACCGCAGATGTTGGTCCGGTGGCAACATCAGCAAAACCAGCAGTCACAACCGATGCTGGAACAACAACCGCCTAAACAAACACAACAAGCACAACAACAACTCGACCAAGAGATGCAGGCACGACAACAGCATCACCAACAACAAGCCCACGTGGCACAACTGCAAATGCGGAAAAAATTGGATCAAGAGATGCAGGCACGGCAGCAGCAGCACCAACAAATTGAAGCACAAATGTTGACGCAACAACAACAAGACACCCGGCTGCAGCAGCAATGCTTGTCACAACAACAGCAATATGAGCTCCAGCAACAACAAACTTGAATGCATGTGGCCTAATTGCAAACGGTGCAACAACAACAACAACAAATGTTAGTGCCGCAATTGCAAATGGTGCAACAACAACAATGCCTGCACGCGCACCTACAACCTCAACAATGCGTACAACTGTCAGCACCGGCGCAACACCAGCAACCACAACCTCTGCCGATGCAGCACCAACGATGCCTGCACGAGCAAAATCATGAGAAGCAGCAACAGTGCCAACAACAACTGCAAGCGGAACCGCATCTGCATCCGAGTTGCGTGGAGGGGCCGTGCCAACTCCAACAACATACACATCAACATACAAATTGCGATGATCAACTCCAACTTCTCCTGCAAGCGCAGTTGGCACAGTACCACCATCAGCATCACTAACAGAGGGTGCTGCAACAACAACAAATCCTGCAAAACAGCTTCATCTGTAGTGGCAGCAACAACTTTGCTGTCAACAACAGCTCATCCTGCAACAGCAACAACAACAGTTGCAAATGTTCTAGCACCACGAGCATGAGAGGCAGCAACAGCAACACATCCTTACATTGAACGGCCGCCAACACGTTGAGGTTGTGCCCCCGGCAACAGAAGAGGATGTCCAAGTGTTGCAAGATATGGACACCTCGGCCCAGGACGAGCCTTCGTTGGTGCGGCAGGACCATGACCCCGGCCCCATCACAACTGACATTGAAATGACCCAGGCCCCGGTCCCGCCCCTTCAGGATAGCCAGCCCCCCCCTCCCCCCCCCTCCGCTCACTGCCAACCATGAGGTTAAACAAAAATTGGCCTTCTTGACCGAATGGACCCTCACCAAAATCTTTTAAATGGCACCAGAGAGGTTACACGATAAGCCCGATTCAAAGTACAGGGTGCAGGCTAAGGAAGTGTTGATATTCAGTCCTCGGGTACTGGTCACTGTAGAAAAATACAGGGACATAACATCGATTGACTGGATGGATGTGGGGGCAGCGATTGTCCTGTTCGTTAACGAATTCTTGGACAAAATCGAGTAGTACGCAAACATGCAATATGATCAAAAACGGCCCAAGCAAAGTTCAGACTGCTCAGAACCCCATGAAGAATTTTTTCTCCATTACGGGCTGGCATGGCCTAAGCTCTTGGTCCAGGACCTCTGCACCACCCTGCACGACACGTCCGCTGCTGCTAAGCCCATCCAATTGCCGGAAAACCAGAGCCACCTCCTCACATGGGGGGGAGATCCACGACAAGCGGAACAATCAACGGTGCAAATATCACGAACAGACACAACCAGGGCGCATGCGGATCACAGTCGTCATCTGCGCAAAATCGAAATACTGCATGATGATGAGGACGAGAATGACACAATACTGTTCCTGAATGAAGACGCGCTGGATGAGCCCCCCCCCGGGAAACCGAGGGATCGGGTGAGACTCCAAAACCCTGGCGACTCCCTGCCACAAGTGCCGCCCGGAGTCATTATTTTCCCACTGGTCAGGCAGCGCGAAGGAGGACAGTGGATATTGGGGCTCCGACCGCCCCCGGACCGGCCCCCTCAGCGACCCCCGGACTTGAATGGCCTTACTGTAGAGGGGTGGAGGGGCAACCCGTCCAATGCCGTGATTCTCAAACGGCTTAAATATTGGCGTCGAGAGACACAGGTAGAAGGCATTTTGGGGGTTGTGCTGCCGCATTCGCTGTCCTTCCCGGTGGGCATTATTCCTATAATGCTGCCGATGAACTCCAAAAGCCGAATCTCGCAACACACAGACCGACTACACTTGGTTCACCCACCTGGAACTCATGGACCTCTCCGTTGATCGATTCAGGACCAACTTCGCCTGGACGCTCAGCAGGGTGCTGCTCTTCATGCAAATCTTCTTCGAGGGCAATGTGCTTGAAGAGCACAACCATTGAGATGACCCGCCATTTGTCCTTTCAATAAAAAAGTTGGACTGAGCCATCAGTTGCTCACCAAGGAAGAACAAGCATAATCGGTTCTGCCCGCACAAACGCCAATACACAAAACCCGATGCCCATGAGCTACTCAATGTCCACTCCCCCACAGTCCCCCCC